GGCAATGCCCTTCAGTCAGCTAATCACCAGAAAGATCAGATTTAACTCACCTTCCCATTGGTTGTCTGGCACCCCAACAATCTCAGATACCCCAGGGGATGGGAGCATTCCACTTTGGACACCATTGGACTGAAGTAAGATTAATTCCATAGGGATAAATGTGAAGTCTTACATTTGGGTTAAAAAACTCAACTTCACAAAAGTACAAAATGGAAGATGCATAGTTATATGGCAGTTTGAAAAATATATAGGTTTTATTGGACTACAAACTCAGTCTGAGTCAGCAGCATGATGTGGTAGCCAAAAACCCTAATGTAATCTTTGGCTGTATTAAGAGAGGCCTAGCATCCAAGATTAGGGAGGTGACAGCACTCTGCCCTAGTCAGACCACATCTGGAGTTTTATGTTCATTTCTGGGCATCACAATTTAAGAAAGATAAACTGTAGAGTATTCAGAGGAGGGCAGCCAGGATGAAAGCCAGATGAAGGAACTGGGGATGTTTAGCCTGGAGAAGAAAAGATTCAGGGAGAACATGTTGACTGTCTTCAGGTATTTGAAGGATTGTCATATGGAAGGACTGTGATCTCTGGCCTCAGAGGGCAGAACCAGAAGCAATGGACTGAAGTTGTAAAGAGACAAATTTAGGGTACCTGTACAAAAGGGGGATGGCCTCCCTCAGTACACAATGGGTTTCACCTCATTAGAAAAGTCTCCACTCACCTGCGGGATGGCCACTTGTGTTCTAATGAGGATTCCTTTTGGTTATGAGTTGGACTAAAGGTCCCATCAGACTCTCTAATTTTGTGATTGTATGATAATGATAGGAAAGAGGAAAAGATGGTTGGGGTCTGGAGGAAGACTTGGAGATGCCCCGGGGCCATTTCCTCCTGCAGGTTGACCGCAGAATATCCTCCGGTCCCCTGCCAGCAGCTGGGTACCAACCAGGTGGGAGGAGTCAGGCTTCCACTCAGCCCAATCCTAACTGGAAACTGACCTCCACGCTTCCCAATGTGTTCTGCAAAGAGCAGGAAACACGGGTGGTAGAAATGGTCCAGAAACTGGGGGATGCTGGTGCAGAGGGTAGGTGGTGCTTTTCAGGCGACCCCTCGCTGGGAACAAACCTGACTTAGGTGTGGGTCAGAGGGCCACCGTGATCTGCTACTGTGTTTTGGGGTGGTTTTTTTTTTTCCTTCTTTCTCTTTCTCCCGGGAGGGGAAGGACCGCCCCATTGCCGTCTCCTAACTGGTAGGGAGGCGGGGTCCGGGCACAGGGAGGGGTGGCGGAGGAGGAGCCCGCTCCGCCCCATCCTGTCCTGCCTGGCTGGGGCTCCCAGGACTCTCCGCTCTTCTTCGCTGCCGCACCCCCCGGCCGCACGACCCACTGCCCACGCGTGCCCACGCCCCACGTCCTGCCATGGCACCCAAGCTCCTCCTGCTTCAGCCACCGCTGCTGCTGCTGCTGCTGCTGCTGCTGGGAAGCACGGGGAGCCTCGCTGAGCCCGGGGATGAAACTGAAAGTTCCATCCGGACCCTCCAACTAGAGACCCTGGTGAGAGGAGGGCACCCCCTTACCCCCGCCCCTGCACCTCCGGACCCTTCCTCCTGGGGTGGGGAAGGCTCGGCACTAAGTTGGGGGTTGGGGTACCGTGGATCCCCGGGAAAGGGAGGGCCGGCTGGAACTCGGGAGAGCCCCCCAGGGCTTCACCCTCCTCCTCCTTCCCACCAAGCCTTGCCTCCCGTGTTCTGTCGTAGGTAGAGCCCCCGGAGGCCTGCAGTGAGTCCGCTGCCTTCGGAGATACGCTGCACATTCACTATACGGTGAGGAGCCAGTCTGGGTTTGGGGGTGGGGCCCCACAGAAACACGTCAGCTTTGGCTGGGACACGTGGCGAGGGGCTACGGGAGTGGGAGCTGCCCCTGCCCCCTCCCCTCGCTCCCGGAGCACGTGGTGGGGGAGGCCTTACTATCTCCACCCAGGGACCCTCCGGGCTCCGGGTTTCACCCAGGACTGTTGTGAGTAGGGTCGAACCTTATTTGGGTGCCTTTTCCTGCCTGCCCTCCCTTGGCCTGAGCAAAGAAGCCAAAGGCTGCCTCCCAGTGGGGGTCAGGTGTGGATTCACTGAGGATTGGGGGAGGGAAGGGCTGGGCCTGGGGGGGGGGCGTCAATCCTAGGGGAGAATACTCTTGGTGGTTGCTGATGATGTCTTCTTCCTCAGGGCAGCCTTGAAGATGGACGAATAGTTGACACCTCCCTGACCAGGGATCCCTTGGTTATAGAGCTTGGCCAAAAGCAGGTCATCCCAGGTATCCCTGATTTAGGGTTTTTGCCCAAAGGCTGTGTCTAGTTGTCTTTTAGTAAGATACCCCCAGGTTGGCATCTGGCATTGGACCTCCAAAGGCAGTGAAGGCAAGGAACAAACCACAGAAGCCTTGTGGTCCCCACCCCATTCAGAAGAACTGCTTTTGAAACTGGTTCTTGGACCTAGTTATGGTGGACTTCTCTAAACAGATTTGTTATGGGGATGAAATGAGAACAAAAACACTGATTCTGAAGTATATGCTTAAACCTAGGGGGCTGTAATTCAAAATCTACTCTTTATTTCCACCCCTTCTCCCCTATTCCTAAATCCCAAGTTAGAGACCTGAAAAGGGTAGGGAGGGGAACCAAGGTTTTTATGTTTGAGGGAAGAGGAGTGAGAGAATCTTCGACTCCACTTACATATCCATTCAGTTGTGTCTTTTCCCTGGTTGTTTTCCTGCCATTGCTAAGGCCTGGAACAGAGCCTGCTGGACATGTGTGTGGGGTGAGTATTGTTGGGTTGGGGTAGTCCTGGGAACATTGCCTTTTTCTATTACCGAAACCTCAAATGCAGAAAGTCATTTCAATCTAAGGGGGTGAGGTAGAAAATAAAGCAACTAGGGAGGGGAGAATAAAGAAAAAACCTTGGATAAACATTGGCCAGGGGCCAGGACTGAGACATCCTACAGGAGGCCCATTGCCCGTATTTCTTCCCTTCTCCTCGACTATTTTATTAGAGAAATTTTGGAGAGCTTGGGCTTTTGACTGTTCACTCTTTGGTGCCTGGGTGGAAGAGATGGAGCTCATTTGGGATGTGTATCCATGGATATAGAGCATAACTTATCAGGATGGCTTTGGGAATGCTGCGGGACTTGAGGCCTTCCTGCCCACTGGCTTTGACTTGTGTTCCCTCCCTTAGAGAGAAGCGAAGGGCAATCATTCCCCCTCACTTGGCCTATGGAAAACGCGGATTCCCCCCATCTATCCCAGGTAAACACAGCAGGATTCCTCCAAATTCTGAGTTCCTGAGTGCTGAGTTAGGTTATACCTTGAAAGGGCTTGGTTGGTTCTTTGGGAGTCTCTAGTTTTCACATCTTCTTCTTTGTTAGCTTGTCTGCTCAGGACAAACAGAAGTATAACCTGTCAAGGTTGCTGGGGCCAGTCTTGTCCTCTGAGAGCCACAAGGGCCTGCTTGCCCATGCATGGTTTCCTTATGACCCAAACCTTTCCCCATGTTACTTTTCCCATCTGTGACTTTTCTCTCCCAAACAATCACATCCAAGCAGGTTTTAAAAAAAAAAGCCCTCTGTGAGAAACTACTGCCACCATTTTTAAAACTTTCAGCAAATACTTGCCAGTGTCTAGAGTGTATCATTCAAACAGCTTCTGACCGTAACATCTGCTCTGTTAGCTACAATATTCTAGAGTGTTTTGGGCCACTGTTCTTATCCTCTTTCCAAGCTGGAGTAGGGACAATGAAATGGTTATAGGCCTGGGATGAAACTCCTTTATCCACAGCTTGATCCTGCCTATCCCTGTTCCCCTTCTCCCAAACCCACTCTCTCTTGTTCCTCTCTCCCTGCTCGCTTGACTACTTTTTCTGTTCTTCTCCCTCCTCATCCTTCTTAACCCTCTTCTACTGAAATATGCTGCAATTCCTAGGAAGAGCCTACAGGAATTCTAGCATTCAGACTGGGCACACTCAGTAGTTGGGATTTAAATCACTTCTATCTCCAGTTACTTTCAATTGCTGCAAAGATTCCACCCATTTGGCTGTACTTGGAGAGGGAGGAATAGAGAGGATCCTAACACAAAGTTCCATGTTGTTTTTAGATTTGCAAAGAGATTTGAGAGTACTGAGGTAATTCCTTGCTCTAGGCTAGCCTTAGAGGTGGTTCAGAACAGGTCCCTTTATCATGTTATCACCTTTTTCTGCTAATAGCCTGTCATTCCTTCAGCTCTAGATTTAGGGATGATGAACACAAGTTTTAAAGTTTTCCTAACCTTACTTGCTTGGTTTCTCTGTGGCCCAATCTTCACTTCAGGTTCTGATTCACTGCTAATATGTCTAGTGACTGACACTAAAACCCTGTCTGCCTCCCTAGGGGATGCAGTGCTGCAGTTTGAGGTGGAATTGATCGCCTTGGTACGAGCCAGCTACTGGCAAAAGCTGGTGAAAACTCTCTTTCCTCTTCTGGGCATGTGTCTGGTACCAGCCCTCCTGGGTCTCATTGGCTACTACCTGTACAGCAAAGCCAGCAGCCCCAAGATCTCTAAGAAGAAGCTCAGAGAGGAGAAGAAAAACAAAAGCAAAAAAAAATAAAACCTCTTCCCTTATATCCGCCTGTTCCTTCTGGGCTGCTTTTGTAAGTGGGATGAGAGTGGGTAGAGTCAGGGGGGCTGTCCTGTTTTCCATCCCAAACTCAACCTTGGCTTTTCTCATTAAAAATCTAGATCCAGAAGGTAGAGGCTGCCTATTGCCTCCCAGGGACTGTAGATTGCTTGGGGGCCAGGTTGAGGACTGAAGTCAAGGTTCTACTATAAGGCCACAATAAGTGGACTTCTTAGTAGCCACCTAGCCACATTCAATCTATTGGGGTTATAATCCCTGGTACATGACCCTCTTTCCTCGAAAGTGATAGTTTAGTGTGACTCTAACCAATGTCTTCACAAGAAACCCAAAGCTATGACATACCCAAGATCTTCGTGGAAACCTTTCATATCAAGCTTCTATTGACTAAGGGAAAGTGTCTGGGGGTTAGGGAGAGGCTGGTTCCCTTTGGACATCATTGACAAGGTGTCACAGTATACGAGATACCACATGGGCAGCTTCAGTGATGTTATGGATAGGTTGCTTTTGTGAGTGGTCTGTTGCTGGTAAGGGGATGTTGCTACATTGGTTGATGATAAGGAGTGGGTTGAGCTGGCTCAGCACTTCATCATTCACTGAGATACCGTCCAGGTACTGCTTGAGCATATGCTTCAGCTTCTTATTGGTTTCCAGCAGTTGGGCCCGTTTTCGCTGTAGGCTTAATTGTTCCAATTTTACCTTGTTATACCTTTTCCAGAAATTCTCCAAGCCTGTGTAATTCTCCATCAACTGGGAGTTGAGGGGGAAAAAAGGTAAAAGTGAATGCTGGGACCACTGACCAGAATCCCCTGTACCTTTCTTTCCCTCCTGGCCCTCTCTCCTGATAACTCACCTTAGCCAGTTCTATCGTAGGCTCTTCATGATCATTGTGTCCCACTTGCAGCAGTTCTTCTGGTGTCAACATTGAGGAATAGAAGGGTAGGACTTTCTCTTCCTCTGTCTCAAACTTCCGACATATTTCAGCAAGTTTGAGGATGAGATTTCCCTGCAGAATGGAGGGAGGGGGTCTATGAATTAAGAAAGGGGGCTAGGGAAACCTTTCTGATGATCACAAACACAGGGGAGAGGGCCAAAATGTTGGGAGGGAAGAATGGGAAAGGCAACATGGGGGGAAAAGGGTTAGGTAGTCCCATTCTGTCCCTACCTTCTCAACAATTTTTTTCAGGGCTTTGAGGGCAATGTTACTCTCCCATGTCAGTTTGGCCAGATTGTGCCGAGCCTCTTCCGGGCTTTAATCATTTGTTGTTTAAGTTTCTGAAGCTGCCTGTGGACCAGGTCTTTGTTGTCACGAATACGTTGGTTTTGTTCCTCATTCTCACGAGTATGCGCCGAGATTTTACCCCGCAGGATAGCAATGGAATCCTGGTTAACAGAGAGAATTAAAATCTAAGAGCTAGAAACACTATTTCATCCTTCATTTTGTAGCTTAAGAAAAACAGGCTAGAGGAGAGACAGATCCCAACATCCAGGCCTTGGAGAACACCCAGTCATGGGTCTGGTGACTGAAATGAGAACCAGGAGTAGAAGTTTAATGAAACCCATAACTGGCTATTGTTCAGTCATTCAGTCATGTCCGACTCTTCATGGCACCATGGACTATGCTATCCATGGAGTTCTCTTGGCAAAGATACTGGAGTGCTTTGCCATTTCCTTCTCCGTGGATTAAGGCAAACAGCGGTTAAGTGACTTGCCCATATTTAAACTCAGGTCTTTCTGACTCCAGGCCCAGTGCTTTAGCCACCTAGCTGCCTCATAACCATGACTGGTATACCTTATTCAGAAGAAACAGAATAGGTTAAAAAAGGGTAATGGGATAGCATTTTTTTTAAAAAGAAGGTATCCTTATGATGAAATACACAAGAGGGAAAAGTAGGTCAGAGTATTTGGATGAAGACCACAGGAGGTAGAAATACAAGTGATTTTATCATTGCAGTATACTATAATCTACCTGGACGGAAAGAAGAAATAGTGGCAAGTTTGGGAAAGAGACCACAAACCTGGCATGAACCATGATATGGTCGTGATAAGGAACTTTGGTGACCCAGACATCTGCTAGAGTTCTCTCTTCATCAAAAGCAGAGCATCTCATAACTTCTTGAGTTACCTCAGTGATAATTTCATCCTCCATAAGGTGGAGGAATCAGCAAAGGGGGGCGGGGCAGGGAGAAGTAACTATTTTGAATCTGATTCTCACTAACAGAAAGGAGTTAGTTGCTGAAATGGAAATGATAGAGTTTGTGATAAAGGAGAGGAAAACGGGGTACAGTCTGACATGTGTCCTAGATTTGGAGCAAGCAGATTTCAGTGGGTTCAGAGGAAAGATAACATGGAATCCCATGGACCAAAATGCTTCAGGGTAAATCAGCCTCAAGTCAGGACAGATGGGAGATGCTCAAGAGTGAAATTCTGAAGACACAAATTTCAATGAGTAGAAAATAGGGGATTTGTCTGAAGAGTCCAATACAGATGCACTGGAAATTCACCAACCAACTTACACTGCAAAAAGAAATGACCAGAACGAGGGAGCAAGGTCAGGTAACAGGAGATGAATGTAAGAGTGTAGCATGGTCCTGAAAAATAGTGTCAAAAATGCTAAAGCTCAGGATGCACTGTGGCTGTTGAGGGAACCCAAGAACAACCAAAAGGGCTTTTAAAATTATACTGGACAAAAGAGAGTGAAGAAGGGACAGGACCATTGCTTGGAGCAGATAGAACAATGATCATTGACAAAAGAGAGAAAGCAGAGCTGCTCAACTATTATTTTGTTTCTGTTTTCTCTGTGAAGGAGGTTGGACCTTTGTGCTGGAAACGATAGATCATGAAAGACTAACATTGAGCTGATAACCAAGCTACATCAGAAAACATTAAGGGAATACTTACTGCCCTTGGTGATTTTAAGTCACCTGACTCCGATGAACTATACCCTCAGTTGAGATTGATTGATTGATATTTGAAAGATTACTGAAAATGGGAGCAGAGCCACAGGATGACAAGGGAAACATCTGAAATCTACAAACTATAAGCCAGTGAACTTGACTCAAAATTCTCCAAAAGATCATTTAAAGAGATAATTTATAACTATCCAAAAAGGGAAACAGTATTTTTAAAGAGCAAGCATGGCCTCATTAGAAACAAGCCATAGCAGCTTAGCCTCATTTCCTTTTTTTTGACAGGTTTACTACGCTAATAGAAGAGGAGAATGGTGTGGAAATCTAGTTTACCTACCTACATTTCACCAAAGCTTTTGATAAAGAATCTCCTTCTGCTGTTGTTGGGAAGATAGACAGATATGGACTAAAAGATCACACAATCAGATGGACTCAGAGCTAGTTGGATGGCCGGACTCTAAGAACAGTATTAATAGTTCAATGTCAGTATGGTAGGAGGTTTCCAGTGGAGTGCCCTAGGGATCTGTACTTGTCCTGGTGCTTTTTAATATTTTTGTCAATGATTTAGATGAAGGCATTGTATGATATGCTTATCAAATTTTCAGATGCCACAGAGCTGGAAGCAACAGTTGATATAATGGATAACAGAAACTTGACCCCCCAAAAAAAAAATCTTGACAGGCCCAAGCAGGAGTTCTTAAATTATAATCCATGGATCCCCAAGGTAAAGATAGATTTCAGAGCACCTATAAACTCATATGGGGGAAAATAACATGTTTATTTTCACTAACTACTAACTGAAATTTAGCATTTCCTTTGTTATAAACGTAGGAAACAAACATCATTCCGAGGAGGGGTCTATAGGCTTCACCAGATTACCATGGGGACCCATTACACAAAGTTAAGAACCTCTAGGCTAGAATTCTGGGCTGAGTCTATTAAGTTGAAATTTAATAGGGTTAAATATAAAGTTTTGCACTTGAGTACAAAAAACTCAACACCATACACCTAAGATGAGGCTATCTTGCAGTTATTCTGAAAAAAGATCTGACTACAAGCTCAGTCAGAGTCAACAGCATGATATGGCTATGGAAAAAGCTAATGCAATCTTGGGCTGTATCAGCAGGGGTATAGCTTCCAGGACAAGAGGCGATAATCCCACTATACTCTGTCAAGACCTCATCTAAAGTAGAGGGTTCAGTTCTGGGCACCTTGGTTTAAGAAGGACATTGATAAGCTGGAGAGTGTTCAGAGAAGGGTAACCAGGATAATGAGAATCTTGGCCTTATGCCATGTGAAGAACTGGGTATGTTCAACCTGGAGAAAAGAAGACTCAAGGTGTATGATATGTGTGTTTAGTTTTGGATGTAAGTTGCAAAGAGGTCAATTAAGGCTTGATATCAGGAAAAAGCTCCTAACCATATAACCCCAGAGTAGAATAAGCAGCCTTCAGAAGTGGTAGGCTCCCCTTCCTTGGAGTTCTCCAATCAGAGGCTGGGGAATCATTTGTTGGTATGTTATAGTAGAGAGCCCTTTGTGTATGGCTTAGACTGGATGGCCACTGAGATCCCTTCCAACTTCCAAATTCTGTGATAGGAACAAGAGGTGTCATACAAAGAGGCTGGGAATTTCTGGCTAACAGTGCCCACCTGGATTTTCTGCAGTTTTTTCATCTGCATCTCTATCTCTTTGGAGCTCTTCTCATCCTTTGC